AAAATTGATTCTTTCTTTCTTGATATATAAGAAACCTAAGAACCTAGGACTAGAAATAATTTTTTTGGAGCACAAAAATGGATGAAACTCTCTAAAAATTTTATACTATAAATGAAAGTACGTAAGTAGTATATCTCGATCGTTATTCCAGGGAAAAATATAACGAAATTAGAGAGAGAAGATCTTTCAGAATGTGTGTAATAATAAAGTATAAATAATAATTAAATAAACCCAGGGAGTACGACAGGGCAGCAGATTTTCCCGTGTTTTATCCTTGTACTACCCTCGAATCGTGAATAATAAAGCAGAAAATACGTCGCTCGGTTTCAAAGCGAAATAAGCAAATAAAAAAAAGGAGGGGGGAGGGTCGTGAAATGAATACGCTGTAAACAGGATCTGCCGCGTCTCGCTGAAAATAACCTTCCATCGTTGGCAAGGGTGGCACGTTCGCGCCTCTGCCTTTCAACGTTTAAGGAGGCAGGATTCGTTCCACCAATTTTCATTCGACTCGTCGAATTCAAGAATACGAGTTATAGAATGAATCTACGCGTGAAAAGGATGGGGAGGGGTGGGGGTGGGGGAAGTTGTATACGCAAATACTGCTCCCTTTTGTAACAAAGCAGGACGCATCTGTGGAAACACGGCTTAAATGGAACACGGAGCAAAAATTGGAGCAACAACTCGCCCTGTAAAACGATATTCTTGTAACATGGTTTCTCTACCTTTAATCCTCGAATCAAGAATAATCGATCGATCCAGATCTATGTTTGATCTATTTTTATCTAAATACCATCATTCGCATCAACGTGTGATTCGACTGATTAATAAACGCGATTAGGATGACTCTTATATAGCACGAGTGTTTCAACATTATACCATATTTTATTAGTGTTTTCTATATGTTCATTTTTATACTAGATTTTGAACAGATTAATGAGCTTGTTTTCGAGTTTTGTTAAAACGTGCATCGAGGAGGAAAGGGTTTTACTTCGGGCAACTCTCGTCTCGAAGATAAACAAGTGTATTGAGAAAAAGAAAATTATTATTTAACTCGTAAACAAGGTCAAGTAAAACACGTTTTTTTTATTTCTTTCGCGCGTAAATTCATCCATTAAAGAAATAGTTCCAAGACCAATAGACCAAGACTCTGTTATCTTTCATATTTGAGATCTGTCAAAAAATGCAAGACAATAAACGAATGTAATTAATTTTTCTTTCGCCAAATCACGTGAAATTATTTATAACACGCGCGTTCGTCTAACTTTTATCCAAGTTTTATCCATGTAATTGTTTATTTCGTAAGATCTATCGAGTTGTTCCTCGATATAAAAATATTTTGAATCGGAAAATTATGGAATCCATTGATCCGAATGCATTAGTTGATTGATCCTCTGCAATTCTCTCTAAACTTTCGATGTGTATGCAGATTCCGTGGTAACCAGCCCTCCTAGCCAACCTTTTATCTCTCCTTTTCTTCACGCTTGACCGTGTTAAAAAGAAAAATAACTCGTTTTCACCCATTCTTTTTTTTTTTTTTCGTAACAACACTGTTCGTTGCTCGTTGAACGAAAAACAGGTTGGTTTCCTTTCTTCCTTTTTGTTATCCCCGATGTAACTCGTTGGTAATTAGAGTCTGATTTATTAGGTAAAAAAAAAAAATTACCTTCATCCCTGACCACCAGAGATTCGAGATTATCGAATGAATTCATCGACGCCCTTGAAATTTTATGCTCGGATTAATTCCGCGCTGTGGATAAATCCGAATTATACGTTTTAATTGTGATATAGCAATGTGAAATAATGTTGCGTGAAAATCGCAGATGTGTTGAAAACACGCATGCACGATTGTGCTGGAAATTATGCTCGCTCATTTGTGAGAAAATCTGTATGCATAAGAATGTATGATAAATGAGCGTGCGTGTTTATTTACAAAAAGAAAATATTTAAAATAAGATAGAATAAATGACGGGGGGCAGGAAGAATTTTGAAGAATTAATCCTGAGCTTTTGTTTCGAGCACAATTTCATTTTGTCGAGAATTAAGCAGGGATTTGATCGTGTATAACGAATTATACATTTCAAGAAGCGTCTGTATAGAATTTTTTCAGATTTTTTTTTTTTTTTTGAGAGTTTAAAACAGGAGTTGAAAAATAATCGTATTCATAAACGATTGCGTACAAAAATGGATGTAATTATTTTTACTACAATTTTATTGATATTTTATTGTATTATTAATATTTTTTTACTAGTCTCTTTATTTACGACGTAAAAAATAAATTGAAGGAACGAAGTGGACAAGATTTGGTCAATTTTCAAAGAAACTTGTACTGGGGGGGGGGGAGGAAGAATAACCGATATCCGTGTTTAATTCGAGGCATCGCTGAAATAAGAAAGAGGATCGATCTGATCGCCTCATTAAAGATAAAACAATGCCCTCGACATTTCGGGAATATTCGCAAATATCTTTTATTAAATCCATTTCCTTGCATTACGAGCATTCGTGTTGTGGCCAAACTTTGTCGTTTCGAAAGAATCCAGATTTTTCTCGTGTTCCATGTACAGAATGCTAATATATTCGTGAGACACGTTTAATAGAAACGTTAAATAAATTTTAACGATAAAAGTGTATAGAAAAATGTCGGTGTTATTTATCAGGTTATGAGCAATTTAAGTTTGCATTGAATGAAGAACGGTACGACGAAGACAGAACTTTCTCACTTTCCCTCTTTGTTTCATCTAATTACAGAAACTTAAATTGCTAATTTTAATGCATTATATTATATTTTCATACCGCGGATACTTTGCGTGTTTTGCATAATCAATATGCAAGGGCTATATATTTATAAAAGAAATTTAAGAATTGACATTTCAAGACATTTATTGACATCGTATTTCGTATTTTTAATTCAAAAATATGACAAGGTAAGACTTACCTTGAGACTCGATTAAAAGCGTATTAAAATTAGGAAAACTTTGAACCGTTATTTGAACTTCGAAAATAATAATCGTTTCTGCGAAGTAACGAGCGAAGAATCATTGGAAGGGCAGTACATTGTCCCTTAAAACGCTTTTCCATTTATCCAGATACAATTTCCGATTCAAAGAGATATCGTCGTGTAAAGAAAAGATAATTTTTAATCGTTTACTTGTCTCACTGACCTGACCTACCAAACTTCACACAATTCCTGGGAAAACGTAGCACATATTTCCAGAAAAATACATGGGTCACGGATCTATTCTGTAACCTCTGCATCATTTGAAATACCATGGATAATTTTAAGTTTAAAATTATTCGATGGCAAGCTCTCTTTTCTCTTCTAACTTATATCTTCTATTATAATAATAATACATTATTATTGAACTTGAAAAGCCTCAGTTGATATACTATCTTTTGTATCTATTGTGATATGATATTCACCGAGAAAAGAATTGGATGACAAACCTCGTCTTAATTTCCCTGAGTTAGAGGAACGTTCGCAAAATGTCTTAAAAATAGGAATCGAATAGAACGATCCAATTGAAATCGGTCATCGTGATGCGTCATCGGAGTCGGCAGATCGTCGGCCCACGCAATAACTCTCGGTTCCACACCCAATCCACCCCCTCACGAATTATAAAACCGCCCACACACCGCTCGTAGGCGCATGTTTACGATTTTTCGTCGCACGGTTGCATCACGGTGGAAATCGGCGAATGCAAAGCATCGATCGAAGAAACGATTCCACGAAACGACGCGGCACGATCGCGCAGATATTGTCGTTGGTCCGTGAAACGTAGCAATATTTGCCAATGCGCAGGGCATAATGTTCATGTCAATGGACTGAAACGCAGTATTGCCGTGCGGTGATAAATGAATTTGCGATGTTCGTGATGGTTGCAGGTATACATCTCTGTTGTCTCTGTTGCTGCTGGAGAAAGATATTTAACCGTGTTTTAAACGAGTATATCGTCGCGTGAAAAAAATAAAATTTTTTGTTAGAGAATAAAAAAATGTGTTTCTTTTATCTATTAGAATAATGAAATCGAACCACACTTTTCGCATTTTTACGGAAATATTTTTATATTAAAAATACGTGAATGAATTTCACGGATTTAAATACAGAAAGGTCAACTTCAAATAAAATGTAGAACGAATATCAATTAAATCGCTTTGTTTATTTATACTCGATCGATTCAATTCGTTTATGAGCAGTTATATAAAGAGATGAGTGTATTTCGAGTTATGCGTTAATTTAATAAAATATTCTTTTTTAACTTCGAGTATTTAATTATTTTATTACGATTGCATAACAACGATTTGTAACAAATCGTAGGGGTAAATATACACGTATCGATAAAAAAAAAGTTACAAACGAAACACGTGCTACCTTTAGAAAATATAAGAGTATATCGATAAAAATAAGAACGGTAGTAACTATATGTTGTAAAATATTCTTAACAACTTCATTGGTGACACGATTGTTTCGATTGTTTGTTCAACGATTCGTGACGATTCCGTGACAGCATGTACCCAACACTATCGCTCAGTGATTGGCCAATGCTTTTCATTAATAACTCGTTAACAAAGCCGAAATGAAAATTAGCGCAAAGAGAAAAAGTTACTTAAAATCGTCCACGCCAGTTACGAAATCTTGATCGATTTCTGGGACACTTTGTAAAAAAAAACGAAATTATCGAGCAGTTGAATTTAGTCGCCAATAGAATTATTCTATTCACCGCAAGTGTTCATTGGCAACAAAATCACTCTGCAATATTCAATATTTTACATTATCCCAACCGACGTCGCATTATAAAATTTAGGACAGGGGGGGGAAGTTGTTAATATCGTGCAATTTGAAGTATATAGCCAAGACTTATTTTTTCCTTTTAAATCAGAACAATATCTATTTTCGTATACTATATTTTCTAAAAATATTCAAAAAGTACGATTTACGCAATTGGTATCCTAAATCGTGCTTATTTACATTTAGCATGCATAGCTTTTGGTCTTTTTTTTTTTTGGTGTACAATCCAATTCAAATTTTATGAAACCATCATCTTCGTTGCTAACAGTACGATTTAGGAAAATCCTAAACCTAATTCAACTTAGCTTAACCTACCTAAAACAAAAGATCGACTAAAAGGAGATCATAATGAACCGTATTTTACAATGTGATCAATTATTGTACACAATCGATAAAAGTTACGCATCAGTCTTTTTTTTTTTCCCTCGGCAAATGTGCAATTAAATTATAATTTAATTTAATCGACTTAATTCCTTCTTTTTACATTTCGTTTCGCTATTTAATAATATATATACACAGTGCTCCAGAGGGCACCACATTCGTCACCACATAAAAGCAGAGATACGATTTAGAAGATTGGTACGCATTACTTGTACCGCGTTCGAATTTTACGATCGGTCGAATTCGGTTATGTTCGGGGATTTTCGTAGGATCTCGGTTGGAGGGGGAAAATGGACTTAAACGCTGGCGCGCGCTAAATGACCAGGAGTCGCAACGGCGGTGGTCGGTGGTGTGGTGGTGGTGGTGGTGGTAATGGTGGTTGTCGGCCTGGCCACGGAGGAACGCTTCATCGGAAGTCCTCTTCCTCCCTGATTGCTCTTGCCCCAAGGCCACTGCAGAGTGCGGATCAAGGTGTTTCGGAAATCTTCCGAGAACAGGCAGTAGATGTAGAATGTGATCGAATAATTCGTTACCTCTAACAGATTGGCCAGGGCGCGAAACACCTGCAACAAAAGTCAAGTAAATGTAGTCGGTTTGAAAAGATTATGAATAAGGAAGATTTGTTATCTTTGGCTAAAGTTGTTTTAAAGAGTAGTAGAGATGCCCCAATAATTATCAAGTGATCAATGATATTCTATTTATTTTACTTGTTGTTTTCTTGGCAATTTCATTACATTGTAATCGTCTTAATAAAAAATAATAATCGTAAGATTATGATGGGACAATATTTTGAAAAATTAAATAAACATTGGGGATAGAATATTTGAATTAAGAAGAACAGGCAATTTACCTGGTAAGGGTAATGGCTGAGATTGCTTTCCCTCAACGTAACATTAAGAATTACCATAGGGCTGACGCAGACGAGGAACAAGATGCTGGTACTCCCTAAAAGAAGCACGAGCCTTCTTTCCTCCGCGAACGTTCTCGAATCTTCATCGTTGCTCGTCGTCCTGGACAGTGTCATACGTCGACGACGCTCGCAGGATCGCCGATAGACCACCATTATTCGAAGATTGAAACCAGCCAACAGTATCGTCGGCGCTACTTTGAAAACGATTTCCAATACCACTTTGTACACCTACGTACAATGTAAAAAGACTGGAATGAAAAAGTCTTAGAAAAATTTTGAAAGAAAGAAATTGAGGATCTCGTGGAAGAGTTATAGATTCATTTATTATGTATCAAATTAAATATTATTTTTATCTTTACCTAACTAAAGTCGATAAATGAATCTGCCCCCATCTTTCTCCAAGATACTCGAAAATTCGAAAATAACAATGTTTGATTACTTGATAAAACAACGAGTCGAGATAGAAGTGATTCTCCCTCTTCTGATAAATAACAGGTCCATCAAGCGCCAGGAGGCAAGTCGCCACTTCTTCCCGGAACACATTCGGCAGGTAAACTAGGAACGTGGCGAGGGGAATAAGAGCCACGGTTAAATGCGGGGGGCCACAGAGTGGACGAGTGTGCCGGCCAGGCCGGCAAACGCTAACGTAACGTTCCACTGTCAAAGCTAGCAGCATCATAACTCCAACTCCTGGAAAAAGTATCCTTTCTGTACATATAAGTTGTATAATGCAATCCTTTCATTAGACGTTTAATGATACTTAATAATTTTTTTCTCTTTTTTGATGCAGTAGAAGCTGCTGTATCTCTCCGTGCTTCATTCGATATTCGTGATGTATTTATGTGTGTATAATAATTAAAATGATTAAGTTGCAAGTGCAATTGCTTTGTTTAATAAATAAAATATCATTATACAGGTTAAATAGATCAAACAATCATACATTCTGTACTGTAAGAATGAAAAAGTACTATCATAAGTACTTTTCCTTGTAAAATCGAATTTGATTCATTAGAAAGAAGTATATTTTTTTTTCAAGTTAATTTTTAACGTATATAAGTATTTTATCTTTTTATTATATCGAGAAACATAGTTGACAATCGTCAAGGATTTCTGAAAAAATTTTTTTAATTCTTCGCTTCATGTTCCGTTGTCTACGATCGAAAATGAAAAGGAGAAAATAAAATTGGAAAAAATTAGCGAAACGAAAATATATTTCGAAGATCGTTCTCACCCAAACAACCGTTCCCCAAGAAGAGCTCGAGGTGAGTGTGATAGAAAGCTTGTATCCAACTGCTCCATCTGCCTGTCTCTTTATGGATAAGAACCCTCATGTCAAAAGGGATGCAGAAAAGAAGCGCGAGCAACGCTGCCGCCGAGTAACCTGCAAGAGAATTATTTTTTTATTAATTTAAAATTTTCACAGAAACAAGATACGGGCATAAACAAGGTTATGTCGCATAACCTACGTGTAGATATATAGTTGCTTTAACATCGAACATAGTTTATGTTCGATATCGAATTACTTGCGCTTTTATCGCATAACTCGTGAGTAAAAGTAAAAGTTGTATTAATTTTTTACATTATTTCGATACTCGATGTTATTCTCGATGTAAAAAGAAGTATTCGACTTTGAAATAAATATTGATTTATTCAAGTTCTTGGTGAAAATTATTTTTCTCGATGGAAAATCCAATTTGCGGAAAAATAATATTAATCGCGGATCTGATGTACGATAGACGATCCAAGACGAAGCAAACATGTATTTCGTATACGAAGAATTCATCGTCGCAGAAATGGTTTATTCGTTAAAGAAAAAAGTTGATAATGAACGTCGCACATTTTAACATGATTAATTTTGTAAAAATTTTTAAAAGCACTACAATATTAAAAGACAGAAACATTATGGTATTAAAAAGAATACGATAATTTTTAAACTGTTTAAACGAAAACTTATCGCTACCGAATTCCAATAAGGACTAATCTGCAACGATTTCGATTCACTGCTTCGATTTCAAACCACGTGGCGCTGTAGTCGAAATTGATGGCTTCTCACTCTTTCGGTAGCAGGCTATCCTGCTTACACGAATGCTCGCGTTATTTCCCCTCAAAATCAGACCATTTCCATAAAAAAAACTGTTATTTTTCTTGTACAATCAACTGATACAAAAAAAGTCAAAACAATATGATAGAAACATTCGTAGTGTATGAATCGTATTTAACAAATACTTCAATTGATGATGGAATTATATATAGATTTTTCTATATTTTATAAATCTGAGAAATTTTCTCATCAATTGAATTGTTGTGTTCTTTATTAGTTTATTAAGTCATATTATATAAGAAGATTGATCGTGTTGTATTGAAACCAATAAAACCAATAGGTTTAAAAAATTTCCATTCTAAAAGAATTATACTGTATGTATTTTTTTAACGAAACAATCATATAAGATATATTTAAAAAAAGAATTCTTTTTCTTTTTTTTTTTTTGCATCAATTGTATAAATTAAATTTTATAATTCAATAAGTAAAAATAAACTAATTTTTAGAATTTTTTTAATTAATCTTTACAATCAGTGTCATTCTCTCAACATTATCAGGAAAAAAATTGAAATTAAAATTAAATTACAAAATATTGCAATGCATTGTTAAATTAATAATAAAAATGTTGTTATATTATAGATTATTACATTAAAAGAAATATTCGAAAAAGTCGTTTTTGATATTTCTAAAGGTAGTATTTTCATCGAAGAATTCCGTCTACACGATGATTGCACGGTTGACCTTTTATGCAGAGACGTGACTTTAAGGTCAGTTTCTACTGAATTTTGATACATACAAAGTTTAGATTTATGTGTAAAATTCCTTTTGGATGTTTTGTCCATCTAGACTGGACTGCAAATGCAACTTTATTGGCATTGTAAGGCAACGTATTGTGTCTTAGTTTTCGGTAGATCATAAAATAGATACTTGAATTAAGTTTATTGCGAGCGCATTCTCTAGAAAAAATTTGTTCGCACAAATTTTTCGTAAGTTGGAACGAAAAATAAAACTCTCGATTCTTCATCTCGCTTACTTAAATAAAAAAAAAATTATTTACATCGATTGTTTATTCAGATTTTTAGGTTGTAAATTGTTTAATTCATAATTGATCGTACATACTTCAATTCTATATATTTTTAGAAAATAAATTCTTACAAGTTCGTTTCAGTATCTAGTAGCTTAAGTCAGAATTTAATCTTGGAAAAAGTTGATCGAATGAAAAGAAATGTGTTAATATATTCATAGAATATCTTTGGAGACCAAAATAAACACAAAAGTTATGGTATATAAAAATGATTTATTTATTAAATTGTAAGTAATTTAAATTTTAGTTAGATGAAAAGAGACGGAGCACAAAGCGCGACAGCAGTGCGACAAAGAATCATGGTTTTATTCAATATGATACATTGGAAAATTTTTAAATTCTTTCAAATTAATAAATATCGATGCAAAAACATTTTTTGAAACATCGTTTGTTTTTGTCCAAATATCTCCAGATTGAAAGGATAAGTCGAGTATAGTATTTAGTCATGTTAGTAGTACAGGTCAATCATTCGATCAGTCGAGGAGTACAGGTTAATAACTTTGTTAGACAAATATACTTATCTGTGAAATATTTACCATTTGCATGCTTATAAATTTTTTTTTTTCAACAGTTTTCTTAATTCTAAAGATACTATTATCCTTTGTATACTTATCACTTACAATAAGAGCTATATCTAAAAAATCTTAGACAAATAGACATAGATAAAGAATAAATAATAGGGAAAAGGATAAAAATTGACTATTAGCATCTTAGTCTATGTTAGATATAAGAATAGATCATCAATCATGCGATATATTTTTATGATCCAAATTCATGGATATTGAATTGATATTATTTCTTTTAATGCAAGGTAAGATAAATAGACTAAGAAAAATTGAAGACTAGCGCCATCTTTTAAGTGTCAAAAACATTTTTCTTCTAAAAAAATTCAAGAGATGGCGCTGATAGCCAATTCTTACTCTATCTCTATCTTTCTTCTATTATTTGTTTTCCTTGTCTATATGTGTTTCATTTGCGGCACTCTAGAGATGGCGCTGATTGCCTAATTTTTATTATTTCTATCCTTCTTCAACTATTCGTTCTCCTTGTCTATCCTTGTTCTTGGCGCGTAATTACAAACAAGATGTGTTTGTGATTAAACTTTTATTCTCCGTTCTAAAATAAATTATAAATAAAAATCTAGTAAAATGCACGAATATAACAATACTCCAAGATAATATAATATCAAAATAAAAGTTTATTTTTAATCCTTAAAGCTTTTTGTAATTGAAAAAATATTCTTTACTTTTAAAATGTTTCACTATTCCAACTACTTGTTTCACAATAATTTACATAAATGCAATCATATATAAAATGCAATACGTATTTTATACAGGCTTTCAAGATATTCCATTTAATTTCAATTTCAACGCTCACTAACGCTTCAATCTCATTCTGAGCCTATAGAATCTATAGCGGTTGAAAATGACACTAAAAAAATGTAAAAAAATTCTAGTTCCTTCAAGATAAGGGACGAAAAAATGAATTGAACTTTAGATCTATTTTGTACTTCGTACATGTGTAATCGCAGTGCGAACACGTGAAAAATTCACGGTGTTCTTTAGAATGCTGACCAACCATGTAAGCAAATTAAACGGTGTTTTTTCACGCATAATTCTCGGTGAATAATATTCCAGCGTGGTTATACATATATTGTAAAGAATTTTTGCAAAGTGGTCGTTAATATATAGCAAGAATGTTGGTAATGCACAGAATCTCAGTCGTCGAGCTGATGTCATAGACAAGGTGGAGGTCATAAACGTAACATGCTTTTTCACGTTACAAATATTTAAATGAATATTAAATGAATTTTCGAAAGAATATCTTCGAAATTCCTAAAAAAAAATCGCATTTTCCATCTTCTCTCGTATTATATTCCCCCGACACAAAATCGAAATTTCTCTGAAATTTGATATACTTATATTTATTCCGCCAAGATTGTCAGAAATCAATCGATCGAAAAGGAAAGAAAAGAAAAGAAAAGAAGAGAATCGGGTGGAGAGTGAAAAACAAAGAAGTTGCCAAGTTTCGATTGACCGGTCTTTCAAACTCGAGGAGCAAGTTTCTCGTGACGGGAAGCGAAATTTTCGGGCTATGAAAATAAAAGAACAGATCGCAGGGATAGTTACCTAGAAAACAGAATCGAGTGTTGGAAAGAATACTTTAAACGTTTTCATTCAATTTTACAATGAAAGAAAGAAGGAAAGAAAGTTTTCTTTCGTGTTGTTTGCCTTTTCAAAATTCCAAAAATACAAATCCAAACAAATGCTGAAGTGAAATCATCATCTTCTTTTACAATTCATTTTGTCAATTTGATTTTCTATTTACTCACCTTTACCGTAAATCTTATTGACCGCAATACCTGAGTTTCTTTTTTAAAGAAGTACACGGTTCGTTTGACGGAATTTCTCAATGAATCAACTCTGACTTTTTATCCTTGATACGGTGACGAGCTTCGAATGTGATCAAACTCGAATTTGATTCGAGCCAAGGAGAAGAAAGGCAAAATTAATGCAACAACAGAAGAAAGAGCAAAGTGTTAAAAGTTGCGAACGTGGAGAATTCCGAGGTTAAATTACGCTGGGTAACGAATCGCTAGGATTTTTATGCACAATATGTGTACCTTTATTCTATACAGAAATATCTTTGGAGGAAAGACAAGATTATGGAGGAGAAAGTTCTTATTTCGAAGTTATAAGGAGACATATTATGCATTATTAATAATTATTTCTATAAATTTCTAAAACTTGGAACTTTACATGAAGTCAATTCTGATTTTTCAAACTATAAAATTTGCATTAAATCCATTTAAAAGTATTAAAAAAATCGATCGAATGTTGAATCGAATATTTCGAATTTTCTCTGCTCCGGTTAGAGATGATATCCACGCCAGCAAAATCGAAGACTTTTAGCTCGCCACTGGTTAAAATCAAAAGGTTTGTAAATGTAGTAGAGGAGTGGAGAAACCACGAGAGACGAAATAGATAAGGCGAAAAAGCTAAGTGAACGCGAGGAAAAAGGAGAGCGTCCGTTCTTCTCGTTATTCTAAGATACCGAGGACGAAACTTAAGATCGGGGCCACTGAATCTACTTAGCCACCGAGGAAAACGCAATGGCGTCTCCTCCTTTATCCTTTTCACTCTTCTCGCCTCTTCCTTCCCGATGATCATGCAAATTCCGCTTGATGCACTAAATGAACATCCATTGCGTTCTGTTAAACCGAACCAGACCGTTTTAACGATCTTACCTTACGTTT